AAAAAAAGTACCCAATTTAGTGGAATACCGAGTTAAACAGGGCAAACCTATTTATTTCATAACCAAGTTCTAAAAATCTAATAATGATGATGATGATGGGTAAGCAATCATCCGTGTACATAATACACTTGTGTACTTACGTTGTAATGTTTACATTGTGATTAATAATAACACACTCTTATGCGGCTATCATGCCTAGAATGGTGTACCTGAGCATTCATGTTAGCTCCATCCATGTAAACTTGTCCACCATTGTCATGAATAATCTTGCAGATCTCATCAATGCCTTCCTCATAAACTCCATGAGTCGAAGGATATGTAACCTGAATGAATTGTTTGAGATAAAAACGAGACAAACAAAAAATAAATAGAAATCTCAGAGAGCAGTAGTAATAATAAAAATAATAGTTAATGCGGGCACCATAAGAGCAGCTAAGTTATCCTTGTTTGCTTCGGCAGCCTTTTGTAACTCCTCAATGTTAATGTTGCCTTTAGAATCTGTCCCCACTGCCACAATTTTCATACCACACATGGCAGCACTTGCAGGGTTCGTCCCATGTGCCGAGACAGGGATGATGCATACATTACGGTGATGGTCTCCTCTTGACTGCATTGAAATAGTAACGGTAACAGTAAAAAATATGAAACTTGAAGGATAACTAAAAATGAAAATTGAAAAAAAAAAAAAAAAAAAACTGAGGTAGTATTTGTAATAATCCATGAGATATGCTCTCTAATTTAAAATACCATGTGATATGCTCGAATAACCATGAGCCCTGCATATTCTCCAGCAGCCCCAGCATTGGGTTGCAGAGAGAAAGAATCGAAACCAGTGATCGTGCACAATAAATCACCCAAATTCTTGAACATTTCCTGCAAAACAGAACATAACATTTCAAAAAGTAACAATAAATCATCAAAACTATAAAGTGGAGATTTAGAGAGCCGTATTCCAAATAGGTGTGTTTTAACCTGGTAGCCAGCAGCTTGTTCAGTGGGAGCAAAAGGGTGAAGATCTGAAAATTCGGGCCACGTCACAGGCATCATTTCAGTTGTTGCATTCAGTTTCATTGTGCAAGAGCCCAATGGAATCATGCTGTGGCACAAAGAGAGATCCTTCGACTGAAGCCTGTGAAGGTACCTTAGAAGCTCGTGTTCAGTGTGGTACCTACACCATCAGCGTAAAAGTTAAAAGAATTTATAATTACCCCCACAACTTACGATTCAAGCTCATGATAAAAAATATATTGTATTAATTAGATGGTCATACGAGTTGAATATTTGGTGAGTCAAATACGGGCTCTCCCTCGTAAGCCCAGAAGGGATAAGATTTTGAACTTCCGGTGCAAGAGACTCGGCAGTGAATGTCACCTAACCAACATAACACATAAGATATAAAACCTATATAGTTGAAATTTAGTGATATGTGTAGAAATAAATACTCTCACTTACCGGCTTACCACCTGCAAAGACTCCAAACAACTTGTCCACGTCTTCCAATGTGGTGGTCTCGTCAAAAGAGACAGTTATCTGAGACATATAAAAGGTAGTGAATATCACCAAGCAAGCTCTTAACAAATTATGATAAAAAAAATGAGCAAAGATATTTTATTTTTTTTTACCGTGTTCTTGTCGACAATTCTCAAATTTATTTCACTTTTGTAAGCGGCATCAACAATAGCCTTTGCATCAGCACATTTGACCTTCACAGTGTCGAAAAAGGGAAGGCCCTGGACTTCTACAGTCCCGAGCTTTTTCAAACCAGCAGCAAATGTTCCAGCCAAGCCGTGAACCCTCTGGGCAATAGTTTTAAGGCCCTCAGGACCATGATACACAGCATACATGGCAGCCATGTTGGCAAGCAAGGCCTACAAAACAGAACGAGTTTCTTATGAAAAACATGTTTTTACAAATAATCAATTCACCAACATTAAGTAAATACACGTAAGTGTCGACAAACACCAAAGAAGAAAAGAATTGCTAAAAGGTGATCACAAAGGAAGGGCGATAAAAAATAAAAAATAAAAGTCTTTCCAAATATCAACTACAGTTTGTAATAGTGTATCTTTGAATCAGAATGTACCTCTCTATTCTGATTCCAATTTTACACACAAACAAAAAACAGCTTATCCACCCCCAAAGGCCAAAAAAACTACCTTTCAATGTCAACGTTTCTGTACAAACAGAACAGAACCAACTATCCATTAGCAACTACTTTCACGTCTACATTAACAATCACTTCCATCCAATACAAACTCTCCCCATAGCACAAACACGATGCACACCAACGACTAAAATTTAATTAAAATGCTAAAAAAATGTTAAATACTCTCGAGTCTCACCTGAGCAGTGCAAATATTGCTAGTAGCCTTATCCCTTCGAATATGCTGCTCCCTCGTTTGCATCGCCATTCGCAGTGCCTGCTTTCCTGACGAGTCCACGCTCATTCCAATAATCCTCCCAGGCATCATTCGCTTGTACTCCTGAGATGTCGCCAGGAAGGCCGCGTGCGGGCCCCCATACCCCATTGGCACACTGAATCTCTGTGCGGACCCCACCACAATATCCGCCCCCATCTCCCCCGGCGGCTTCAGCACAGTCAGCGCCAGCAGATCCGAAGCCATCACCACCTTAACTCCGTGATCGTGCGCGTTCTTCACAAACTCCTCATAATCGAGAATTTCGCCTTCGGTCCCCGGATACTGAACCAGAACTCCACAGACATCTCCCGATTTGTAGCTAATGTCTTTCAAATCGGAGACGAGCACTTTCAGGTCGAACCCATCGGCACGTGTCTTGCAGACGTCGATTGTTTGTGGGTGGCAATTGCTGGCCACTAGAAAAGTCTTCCTTTTGCCCTTCTGAATGTTGTTGCACATGGCCATGGCTTCGGCTGCGGCCGTGCCCTCGTCGAGCAAGGAGGCGTTGGACATGGGCAGACCCGTGAGGTCGGTGATGAGGGTTTGGAAATTTAGGAGGGATTCGAGTCTCCCCTGAGATATCTCGGCCTGGTAAGGGGTGTATTGGGTGTACCAGCCAGGGTTCTCCATGATGTTGCGGAGTATCACCGGCGGGACGAAGGTGTTGTAGTACCCCATGCCGATGTACGATTTGAATAGCTTGTTCTTCGAGGCGAGGTCCTTCATGTGGGCAAGCATCTGGGACTCTGTTAGTCCGGCGTCGAAGATCGGGAACTCCATCGTGTCGATTCGGATGGATTTGGGGACGGTGGCGTCGATTAGCGCATCGAGGGTGTTGTACCCTAGGGATTCGGCCATCTTCGATTGCTCATCGGGAGTGGCGGAGTTGTGGCGGCGGGGGAAGGTGTCGCTCGGGCGGAGGGCGGAGACGGAGATGGATCGGGAGGGGGTGAACCGGGCCGGGCTCCTCGGTGGTTTGGTGCAGGGATTGCTGCTGTGGGTGGTTGTACCCTGGACGACGCTTGGGGATAAGGATGAGGCGTACCTTGAGGAGTTGTGCTGCGGCGGCTGCTGGTGCTTGGATTGGGTGAGCAGGCGGCGGAGGATGGCCCGGTTGGCTAATTTTCTGGCGCGCTCCATTTCAGTGTGTATGTGTGTGATTATGGAAAAATGAGGTGATTTTGCAATCACCCCTGCAAAATGGATGAAGGCGAAATGGGAAAATGGTTGAAGAACACTGAAAGGAGCTAATGTCTCCGTGTTTTCTCGATGTGTGTGTTTTCAGGGAAAAGACTCCATTTTTAACAGTGCAGAGGAAACGTAGTGGCCTAGTGGGTGACGATAACGGCTGTCTGAGTTTGAGTNTTTCTTCTTTTCAAACTATTTACATAAAAATGATTTTTATCATCCACAATAAATCTTAAAAATTAATTTAATCGTGCCTGAATACTTGAGATTTACATAGAAAAAATCGTGATTTTTAAGCAACTCCAAATTGGAAAAAAAGTAAGATTTGCATGATATGAAATAAATGACTAAGAATTTGCACGTGTATACTTTCACTACCATAAAATGTTATGTGATTTATAACAACGTAATTAAATGGATTGTTTAAAATTTTAAAATATATAATAGTAATAGCACAATTGAACCAGCATCTAGGTGGATGAACGATTATCTTATTTTTTAATTTTTTTTATTAATCGCGGAGCATGCGTCATTATCTTGCAAGGTATCTTCATTGGTATTAACACGATATATATTAACGAATTTCATGGACAATATAGTGGAATTTGAATCTTTCAACAATTTCTATGTTTAGGTTGAGCTGAATCACTCCACAAACTCCATTGCTTAAATTTTGGCAAATAAAACCTCCAAAGTGAATTATGTAGTTGTAGAATCTGACAAGAAAATTAAAAATGCAATTTATTGTTATATATATATATATTAAATTATCTTATTGGTGAGTGGTGACTGTATGTAATTATTGAATCAATAGTGAAAATTTTCCGATGATTAAAATTTTCGAAAATCTATGGCTGACTGGCTGTACTTGGTGTTTGGTGGATCAGCTGTGGCGCAGTACCGAATGAGGAAAAGGACATGCATTTTTTAGTTTATGGGGTCACGTGCAGACCTCGATATTCTGCAGATTTTTGGCCAAAAGCGAAAAAAAAAATAAAATAAGAAAAAGGTATATATACTTTTTATGCATAATTGTGACCAGAGAAAAATAACAGCAAATTATGGGGAATGTATGGAAGAGAATGACTGCGAAGGGATTGAGATTCTATGGATCTAAACCAAAGGACTATGGGAAAAAAAGGTTAATTTTATTTTTCAGGTACAATGAAAATATGGCCTCAAAAATGTTTTGGATTTTTCCAAATTGAGGAATGATATCTAGTGAGTCATTGTTGGCTAAATCTCTTTCACATCTAGCTTATCTTATTTTCTCACCTCACAAAAATAGGAGCTTTAAGCAAGCTTCATGTCATATAAAAAAATATAGGTTACATAACTGAGTTGTTTTTATTTTTATAGAATCCTATATTACTCAGGTTTGTTTTTTCATTTTTTTTGGTGGTCTTTTGTTGTTTGTATATTTATTTTGTGGACTTTATTAGGAATCTAGGTGTTTGGTGAATCTTGCTTTAAATAAATGCAGTTGCATTGCTAATGGACCAAGCCCATTTGATTTGAGGCATTCTTCAATGTTTGGGCCTGACTGGACCCTAACTATTTACTTCAAGCTCACCTATGCTGTACACGCCTACCCAAGGCAACGACAAGGCCTATAATTTGTTGAAGCCCTACCCAAGGAGAGTGATGGTAGAAAATTATTGCATTGTTATCATTTTTTTATTTATAAAGCGAAACACACACACACACATAGGCCTGGAAACGGGCAAAAATCGAGCTCGAGCTTGAGTTCGAGTCCTTAACAAGTCAGAAATTGAGCTTGAGCTCGACTCATTTTCAATGTTAACGAGCCGAACGTTAACGAGCTAATCTCGAACTTTAACAAACAGAACTATAAAAAATTATATTTTCTTTTCAAGTCTTATCGAGTTAAGCCGAGCCCGGCTTGTTACGAGCCGAACTCACAAGCGGCTCTTTTTGTTTAACAACTCTACACACTTATATATGACTCTGATGTTAATAATGTTTAGATTTAAATTATGAAGTACTGTTTTGTTTATATTACATTATAAAATAATTTTGGGTCCATTGGCATCCAAATCTTAACAAGACACTCAAATAAGTGAAGCTGATGAAGAATTTGGAAGAAATCAAATCAAAGCAATTTTTCTATTAATATTTCTCTTACAACATCTTTGGTGACGAATGGTAAGGTGATAAAAATTATTGTTAAAAAATAAATAAAATAAATGACAACCATTATTTTTCATTCCTTACCAACAATCACTATTTAAGTAGTAAGAAGTAAGAACTTAAAGTTAAAACACAACAAAACCAAAAGTAAATGAATAAATCTTATTCCGAAGTTTATTTAGGTACTGTTTACAAACACAGAGAGACGGCTGTTCAGTAAATCTGGCTCACATTTATTGGCTTCAATTCAAACACTGCTGTTTTTGCTGTGCTGTCTGCATCACTAACCCCATTTCTAATTATTATTATTCAACATATCATTAATATTTATTTATTTTTTTGTTTGTTTTTATATACAAAATCTCCACTTTGCCCTACCTACTTGTGGACACGTATCCCAACCAAGATTCAAACATGGAAGACTCAGAAATTATCAATAATCATCAGATCAGAAGTCTTGCAGCTACAACATCAGAGAAAGTGGAAAATATATTGATTAAAATAAAGATTTATGAAGATAATTACAAAAACTACCATTTTGTAATCTAGTGAATTCTTGAATTTATAACTATGCACTTTGAATACATAAGTGCACATATTGGGAGGTGTCTATGGATGGATTTTATATAATGAATACAAATCTCAAACTATATTGGCAATGTGTAAAAAAATTGGAATTTTTTGAAAGAAAGTAACTAGTGTTTTTAACTAAACTTCAAATGTAAACAAAGCAATTTGCTAGGGAGAATAATATATCCCATCAAGATTCATACTTAATGATTGTTCCCAACATTTTAAGATTCAAAAACATATATCATAACATAACATAACAACCATCAAATCAGAAATCTATCACTGAATAATTGCAATTAAAAAAAGTTTGTCCAAATATTGCATTCCCCCAAGCATAGATTGTGAGGGACATAAATAAAAGTAGTCCCCAATTGGTTCAAAATCTAAAAGGGCATCATTTTACCTCCATGTGCAGTCCACATTAACTATGACCAGTGAAATTAAATTTATGCAAACCAATCAATGACAACAGCACCACCCTATAAAGAAAACATAGTTTTATCTTTTTCTAGATGTAAAGGCCCAATCAAAAACCACAAATCTCACATTCCAGAAAAGTGGAGAGGATTCTTTGAATCCAAATTTTGAAGTTCAACATATATCTCAATATAAATTTGGCTATTGGTGCAATTAGATAAAATATTATCTCAATTTTGAAGTTCAACATATTATCCAATTAATCCACAAATTAAAAATAAAATAATCATTCATTTGCCTTTTTTCACTATACTTCATTCATATTATTAGTATAATTTTTAAATTAAGAAACAAAGTATCATTACTTATTTATCTTACAATCTAATCTGTATCTATTAACATATTTATAGTTATCAATTATTAGTCAACAATTATGTATGAATTAATTAGTATTCTTTATGTCTCATATATATGTTTACATTAAAATAATAAATTCTCCCATTCTATATCTTTCACACTCAAATAAATATATATTAGATATTAGCTCCCTCCCACTCTTACTAATTATTCATGTAGAATCCAATATGATAATATCCTAATTTGCAGGCTTATGCATTAAGCCCCAAAAATTAATTAAAGTGTGAACAAATCCCCCTTTCTTTTGAAAATATCACAAATACCTATCCACCATTTGCACCAACCACATTTTTCCACTCCCACCTCTGTACACTCACTGTAATTCACAATAGCAAGAGTCAGCTACCAAATAAAAGGGCCATTCTTATTTTCTCTTCAGTTTCATTTCTCAAAGAAAAAGCAACTCAATTAGCAAAAATGTTTGAACAATCCCCATCTGAAATACCCTCTTCATCTATATGGGCATCAATGAACAGCTGGTTCACACCTGCTGTTTTCTTTGTGCTCCTCAATATCATGATAGGCACAATTGCTTTCACCTCAACACTAACCAACAAAAAACAAAACCAACCAACAAATCAAAACCAGCACCAAAATGAAGAAACCCACAATCAGCCCAAACCATCTGTCTTGCAGCGTCTCAAATCCACTAATTTCTACCCTTATTTCAACAGATCTCAGGATACTCGGACTCTGTCTGCTCACAAACAAACCCCAGATTCTTTCAACTCTGAACTACAGACCCATTACTTTTTCCAAGAAAATCTTCAGGCATCACAGTCCCAACCCACAAATTACATTTTCGAGCAAACCCACGAGCTAAACAATCAAGAATCACAAACCCATTTCGTCTTCGAGCAGAAAGATCCGGATTTGGGTGATTCAAAGCGAACCCATCTCGATTCCGATCAAAAAGATCCGGACTTGGACGGGTCAAAGCAAACCCATCTCGTTTTCGAGCAAAAAGATTCGAGCTTGGACGGTTTCGAGCAGGCCCAAGAGGAGAAAATCGAAGAAAATGAGGCGGACGAGCAGAGCATGGACGAGGTTTACAGTCAGCTCGCCGGCAGCCACTTCGTCAGGACGAAATCGGACACGAAGCCGACCGCCGGCGAGATTCCGGTGAAGCTTCCAGCCAGGATGAGGAAATCGGCGAGCTTGAAATCACCATTCGGGCACTTCGAGGAGGAGAAGATCGTGGAGGCGCGGCGGCCGGCGACGGTGAGGGAGCGGCGGGGAAACAATGCCAAGACGGCGGAGGGCGACCATGAGGTGGACGCGAGGGCCGACGATTTCATCAACAAGTTTAAGGAGCAGCTTAAGCTTCAGAGGTTGGATTCGATTATCAGGTACAAGGATACGATTGGGAAGGGGAGTGTGGGGAGGTAGGTTTGCAATTTCGGTATTTTCGGGGACTTCTTGTGTGATTTCATTGTAGTGGTGGGAAAGTGGATCAGATGGTTTAAGAGGGGCTGTTTTGAAAATAAGTGAATATCATGGATAGTGGAAATGGTCGGTTTGATATTGGGGAATCATGTGGTGATGATGCATCTATTTGGTGTCATTGTCTAGTTTTCGGATGGACATTTTGGTAAAATTCTAATCAATATTTTGATTTTTCTTGTTTAATCCTTTTTTATATATGAAAGATCTTGGTTGAATCTTTGTGTAAAGCTTTTAACGAAAAGAATTGCTCGTGAATTCAACTTAGTTAATTAATGATAACAAACACAACTCGTAAAGTTTGAATATTATGATCAGCTCATTCAAATTCGAACATGTCTATTAGCTCAACTCGATACTAAGGACTCGTGCCCGAGTTTAAGTATTAGGAGCTCGTTTTACAACTCTTAACTTTGAGGTACTATTGAATAATTTAACTTGAAGTTGCATGAAACTCTTAACTTTGAGGTACTATTGAATAATTTACCTTGAAGTTGCATGAAACTGAGGTGTGTTAATTTTTTACATTTTCACTTCATGTTGTGATTGGGTTATCCTTTCAACCATACTAGTACAGTTGCCTATGAAAAAAAAATCACTAAAAGAGCATTTGTAATTCATATAAATGTATAGCGATTAATTATTGAACACTTCCTTTTCGTCTTTGAGCTGTTTTTATCATCACAAATTAGTATTTTCAATCCTTTCCTGTTTGTAACTCATGAAACAACGACATAAAGTTGGTCGAGCGTTAATACAGAGTTGTAAATACAAAATTCTTCAGGTATAACATTCATATAAATTAATCCTCAAAAGCTAAAATATATATTTTATTTTTGATATGCATAAAATATAATTACCATAATAATTTCACCATAAACTTTATTTTGAACCTTGCCATAGTAGTTTTATATCTACTGCTATTTGGTGCTACAATAAAATGTGGATACCAATGACTCCATCGCCTGTGATAAAACGTTTGAACAAATTTACGTGAATTTTTTTTATTGAGACATGTATTATATATCCCTGTAAAACGTTAAAAATACAAATATTAGGAAACAAAACTAAATAGCATATGTATAATAAGTAAATTTATAAACTGTTGTAGTTATTTTTACCGGAGTTAAATCGAAAGATTCGATCCCCGGGTCGTATCTCAAAGAAGATTAGTCTGATTATCTTGTACGTATATTCAATCACAAAAAGAGAAATTAAATCCTAACACTCTAGTTCAATCGGTATGGTTTCAATTATAAACTACGAATTCTGAAAATAAGCAAAGCACACTTTAAATTCACGAAATTCAGATAATGGTTGGAGAGTTAGGGAATCAGAGATATTCGTTTATGGTTCTCACGCAATCAATGAGCACACAGTCGCTCGGTCAAGGAATCAAATATCCTACTTGCTTAGAGGTTCATTTTCTATAACATCTCGTAACAAGAGAGCAAACATGAACAAATCAATAATTGACACACTTAACACATAGGCAATACATTAACGAACATGTCTATTTCAAACGAGCCAAAATCAATCAATTTCTCCCCTTCCGGTTCTACAAATCGATTAATTAGATTAAGATGTTGATCAAACATCTAACCCTAGAATGAGCACAACTCGAATAGATTGAACGACAAACAACAAATTAAGCCCAATCGAACCAAAACAAATATCTCCTTTCCCTAACAAAATGGTTTAGCCACTCATATTGATATCAACCACAACAAAGGATTCAAAATCATAATTCACATCCATAATAAAGTGAAAGTAACTTACGAATAATCCAAGTCGAGAAATAAAATCAAACACAAGTCGAATCACGTTCGTTTTGGAGTATCACAATCTCCAAAAGATGAATCCAAGCAAAACCAAGAAAATCCAAGTGAAAAAATGAAGAAAAGATGTTTCCTACGTGATAAAGTATGAAAAACCCAGTCTTAGAACAAAGAATAAATAATCCGATGAAGTCTGAAAAGTCCTCCTTAAAACCCTTTGGCCCGATCCTATTTAAACGCGTACAGTTTCATGTTTCAAAAAAAATTCCAGCGCCGCGGCGTGAAGCTCCACCGCGGCGCGGCAGATGGCTCCACCGAGGCGCGAAAGCTGAGGCACGGCGTGGCAGACAAGCTCACCGCGGCGCGAAGAAGATGGCACGACGCGGCAGGCACATTCACNCTACACACCACCAAAAACGAAAGAAAAAAAAAAACACACGAAAACAGACAAAAGAGCAGAAAATATCGAAAACGAGAAATAAATGGCAAACACACCAAACGAACGAATGGTGGACCAAAAGAACCAAAAGATTCCAAAAAACGGGGGGTAAAAACTAACAAATAAACAAAGAAAAAGATAACAAAAATAGGACAAACATAAACAAAAATGTCTTAAATGAATCACCTTTGAGTCGTGGAATATTAATTCCCAGAGAACGATATTTCCATCTTGAGAGCAGTCCTTTCGTAACATCGCATCACACGGACTTTGTTCCATTCTTTTTTTATACCTCAATGTGCATGCAATTATTTGAATAGGATGTGAAAGAGATGTGAATGTGATAGTACATAAATGAATAATCAATCAATTGCGTATTTATAAACTACAACATATATATCTTACTAAATAAGAAATTGTTGCCGTGCAAGGTAACTATTCAAGTCAATAACAATGTAACTTCCAAACGTGTGTATTTTAATGTAACTTCCAAACATGTGTATTTTTAACTTACATATGACTTTAACTTCCAAACTGACTTTCATGGTTTTACGTGTGTATTTTTAACTTCCATATATTAGACGTGTTACTCGTCGGGTTAATATTTTTTAAAGAAATAAAAACAAAAATCTTATGATCGTATTTTATTTTGAATTTTGTTTAGTGTTGTTAAGTATGTTTGACTGATTTACGTATAAAAAGCAAAATATTTTATGAACATACATAAATTTATAAGTCTAAAATAATTAAATACCTACCATTTAACACTTAAATCATAATTTTATGTTATCACAATATTAGTAATAAATACAAAAGTATTTACACAATAATCTCTACATTATGTATTCTGTTTTATATACCTCAGTGTGTAAGCAATTGTTTGAATATATTATGTATTCTGTTTTATATACCTCAGTGTGTAAGCAAATGTTTGAATAAGATGTGGAAGAGATGTGAATGTGATGGTACATAAATGAATAATCAACTGCGTATTTATTAACTACCACATATATATTATTACATAAAAAATACTGACGTGAATGTAACTATTCAAGCTTCTAGCAATGTAACTTCCAAACGTGTGTATTTTTAACTTTGACTTTAACTTCCAAACTGATTTTCATGGTTTTACGTGTGTATTTTTAACTTCCATATATTAGACGTGTTACTGCGGTTAATATTTTCTTAAAAAAAATAAAAATCTTATGATTGTATTTTGTTTTGGACTTTTTTGAGTGTTGATAAGTATGTTTGACTGATATACGTATTAAAAAACAAAATATTTTATGAACATACATAAAGTTATAAGTTTAAAATAATTAAATACCTACCATTTAACACTTAAATAAAAAAATTTATGTTATCGCGATATTACTAATAAATACAAAAGGTAATTACGAAATACTCTATATACTGCGAGTGTTCACACTAGGGGCGGTACCGTAATTAACCAACTCTATAAGTGTGAACGCAACAAAACTGCGAGTGTTCACACTAGGGGCGGTACCGTAATTAACCAACTCTATAAGTGTGAACGCAACAAACCAAGTAATTACGGTACCGCCCCTAGTGTGAACACTCGCAGTATATAAACAACCTCGTCC